GAAAGAGTCTTGGTGTGCATCTTATGTAGAAGGAGAGTAATTACGTTTCTTTTCAGAAACAGGTCAACACCTACTTTCAGAGGCTGTATCTGCGTCATCTGGTATAAAGACTTGTGTTACGGATCTCCACCTTCAGAGTCCACTATTTTTGCTTAAGAGTGTTATCTTGGTTCCTATACCTGATGACATCTCTCTACCCAGAGGAGGCTATATCCCTTTGTTTGCTTAAGTTATCAATAACCACCAAATTATCCAATGATATATGAGGATCCTTTTGTTTGTTAGGGTCTTTAAAATACTTGGAGAAACTTCTCATTCCCCTTAGTCCTAGAAATATTTTCAGATGAAAAAAGTTACTGAATCTGGAAGTGGCCAGTGTGTATGTCCCAACAGAGGCATGTGTTTTGAGAGATCTCACTTTGTCCTATGTAACATTCATTATATACAGTGGTCTTGAGAGTCTGCTATGCCTTTTTGGTATGTGATCTGGATTCCTGACTTTGGCCTTTGTAGCTGTAGCTTCCGGATTCCTAACTGTTGACCTAGGGAAAACAAGATGCAAACAGTCCAAGTAGAGAACACTAACTCAAGCACAAATTATCCCATGAAAAAAGTAGAGAGGAGTTTGGAAGATGGGCAAGCAGTCCAATCCTTGATAAAATATGACTGCTGGTCAGAAGAAGGGTAAGAGGTAAGACTCCTGAGGGGAGGGCAAAAAGGAAATAAGCTGTGATTGGGAAGAAACTGGGGAATAAAAAGCTTTGTAGAACTGAAGATATCTGATCCTGAGTACAAAGACTTTGGAATGGAATCAATTTTACCCTATAAGGAATGAAACGAACATATTCTCTGGGAAAGAAAATTTCTTTTTCAGGGTTGAAGGGGGCGGGACCTATAAGCCTGAGGCTTTGCGGAACCTTGGGTGCTATGTGGTGGTAGAAGAATGCAGAAACATGACTCTTGACTTCCCTGGGAGAAAACAGTTGTGCCCTTTCTCAGGAAGAGAAGAAGGAGAGGTACATGAAGTCTAGCCTCAAAAGAATGAGACCTAGAATACTGTGAGGTTCTCAAACAAAAGAGAAATAAAAAAATATTAGATGTTTTTTATTTTGTATTTTCCAGGGTTGGAGTAACTAACACCCAGTATCACCACTTCAAGGTAACTTAGGTAAAAGAAAGAGAATGGTAATCCTTAAGGTCTCTCTGGGAGAAAGAGCAAGAGCTCTGGCCCTCTGAAAGAACTTTCATGCTGGGG